GCACGGCGGGAGACTAATTAATCGATCAAACTTGGGTAAGAGCTGGTTATACTGTAGAAGGAGATGCTGATGATGAAATTAACAGACTGTGAGTGGAAAATTTTTAGACAAAGACTACGTTTTTCATGCACTTTTTTCACAATTTAATTTACATGAGGAATAGTTTTATGAACAGAAAACACACAATATTAGCATTATGCAGTAAAGGATGCATTGCGCACTGCGCAGTACACATCTTCCTTTGGTTTAAAGGGGACTAACAGCTAATCACATTAAAGTCAAAAATACATCGTATGGTCTGTGCCGAGGCTACGCTGTAAGACTACGCAAGTAAATTGGATTTTGAATTCTTCTATAAATACCTTTTTAATTAGTTGAGCAAGAAGTATCTGCCAACAATACTTAATCCTGAAGTCTGAAAATAAACTAAGGGGATCAGAATATAAAAATAACAATGACTAAATAAACTTCACTCAAGATCTGATTGCGTAAGATAAATGAGCACTAATCTGGTTTTCTAAAGTGCCTCTGAGACACCAGAGAGATCAGTCTATATGCTTAAATAAGGTTAAAGAAATTATACTATTTAAGGTACCAGAAGGCAGTGTGGAATATGACACCACCCAGATTTGTGCAAAGTATTCAACATTAGGTGCTTGCTTAAAGGCACAATATGTAATTTTCTCCACTAGAGGGAGCGTATTCAAAATAAACAAAAAGACAAAGGCATAGTTTGATGAGGCAGTGACAGAGTGTGGAATCATGGGAGTTGTCGTCTTCATCCCCACAGCCAGTGTTGGGCAGTAACGCATTACTTAGTAACGAGTTACTGTAATTTGATTACTTTTTTAGTAACGGAGTAATTTAACGCGTTATCATTTTCAAAATAGTAATTAGAGTATAGTTACAAGTCGAGGTCTCTATACGTTACTGCCACGTTACATTGCTGACAGAATGCAGTGTTTTATAATCTGGAGATTGTAAAAAGGATGCAGCACACGCATTGTGGAGTCAAGTGCCAGTGGATTAGAGACCTGCTCCCGCGAGACCCGACGCAACAGAGTGCGGCGCGGGACAAGACTTGATAGGCGACTGCAGAGACTCGTGTGTGTGCGCGGGATGCGGGAGAATCAAATTATTCACGGGACTCCCGCAAAATAGAAATATCTAAGCATAAAATATCTAAAACAAATAAATTGTTATTCATCTATTGCACAAAAGCAACATGAACTAATATAAAATATAAACGATTAACAGGTGCAAGCGTATGCAGTTTCTATTTAGGCTATAACACGTGTTCGCTGCGTTTAGCAATGCAGTGCTGAAATTTGCGTTCACGAATCCTCTCATTATAACACACGAATTGTAGACATTATGAAAGATTCATTATGCATATATTTATTGTGTTATAACAGAGATTTGTGAGATTGCGATGAACTGAGATGTCTTTTAGAGATTATAAATGCAGCGCTCTTTGTCGGCATTCTGTCATGCCAAACCATGCACGCAGCAGCCGCTGCTTTAGTTAAAATAACAGTGTTCTGTGAATGTTGATGCTTTCATAACAAATACTTATCGGGATTGTGTATGCTGGGATTTCATAAATTTCATGGAGAAAAAAGTAACGTAACTAGTAATGTAACTATTTATTAATTACTTTTGAAATAAACGAAACGAGGCCGCTGAACGAGCGTGACACATGGCTCGAAAGTAGCAGAGCTTTTATTATGCCACAGTCGACCGCTTCCGCTCCTTCAGGTCGTTCGTATGTGGGGGAAAAAAGCTGTGCTGTTTTATCATACTAGATACATTTGAATATACATTATAATGCTACTCTGTGCGGTCGTCACCCGTCTAATAAAACGCATAACATATTAAAGCGTCTTTGGTGTTTCCATCGAGGGTGTATGACGTCATTGGCAGGCGACACAATGACACTATAGACACGGTCCGTGTCACTAGTTAAAATTGCTTATTTCTCTGAATTTAAACATTCTTCGAAACATTTGGGATAATGTAAGTACACAAGTCAGCAAAATATATAACACTGTTCTAGTGGTTTTTGGATATTTTAATAAAAAAATCTTACATAATGTGCCTTTAACAGAACAGCCTAAAAACCCAAACAAAACACAAGCATCATTTACTTCATTTATTATAATAAATATATTGTATATACACTAATTTAACATGAGTACAATTCATATAGACAAATAAACTATAATAGACTGTTTTTCAGAACACACCTAAGAGCACAAGCAGTCAAAGATGGGCCATAGAAACATAAACCAACAGCTTGCAGAAGGACTAACAAGATCTTGGTGTGAATCCTCAGGAGGTCAGAAACACGATGAGCAACCTTAAATATGTCACCTACCTATATAAACTGTGAAACAAATACCTGTTTAATATGCACATCCCTCTGATGCTCTGACAGAGGGTCACAAAGTTGTAGTCTGTCTTCAGGTTGTAGGTATCTGCCGAGTGGTGAAACTGCCAGATAGTGAGAGTGACAGTTAATTTAGGATTCCAATTTGCTAAAATAAAAGCTTTTATGAGACAATCCCACTTTTGATTGTGATCTGTCCAGTTTTTACATTCATGGGTTGAGGAACCAATCATGATGGACCACCAGAAGAGTTTTTATTCCTTTTGGCTATTCCCTTTAAACACTGATGCATTTTACTAATACCCATCGAGGTGATCTGCTTATCTCCACACCAAGAGCATCATAAATTACCCCCACAATTTCACAGGCCAACCGTAGCAACGTGTTGCTTCCTCCATAAGAAAATCTAAAGCCCTGAGCCACTGTCATTCAGATAGACTATCTCCATCCATTATAGATTAATCACCAGGTACCCCAGAATTCCAGCTATGAGCAAAACCGCGGTGAAAATGATCCCTGCAAATACTTTCATCAGCCCAGTTTCTCCTTCCACCGTTTCTTTGGGTTCCTCCTCGCAGATCGAGATGACACCAACCGATGAATTCCCAACGCTGACGGTGGATTTCAACTCGGCTCCTGCCTCTTGCTTCGCCTCGACTGCCCACGGCGCCACCTGGACCTTCATCTCCATCTCCTCCATCATCTGGTCCACCTGAGCGATCTCGGTCTCCAGCTCTTTGAGGTCCACCGTGTCGATGTTCGCGTCGGCTTCGTACTTCATGTTTTGGACGCTCATGGCTCGAGCCGCCACGGTGGTGGTGCTGCCTGTCATTCCCGTCTGGATGAGGTGTCTCGTCGGCACTTTGAGAGGAAAATCCTGCCCGATCTCCAAGGACCGCTTCATGTCCACATCCAGGAGCTCCATGCTGCTGGTGAATAGTACCCAGAGGCGCTCGTATTCAGCTCGATCATCTTTGCTGATGTTTTTGTCCTTCAGAAGCGCCGTGAGTTTAGTCCTGTTGGCCACGGCCAGCTCCTGGGCTTTCTTTCGGGTCTTTTTAAGTTCCTCTCGGAGGTTTTGGGAATCAGATGTGCTCCCCAAAGCGATGACCAGATGCCTGAAGCAAGCTGTGACTTTGTTGAGCGCGTCCAACATGGTCTTGCATTCGTCTTTGCCCATGTTTGCGCGGAGATACGGATAGGTTTTTCACCGAAAATCCACAAAACGCGCTGGATGATAGTGTCTTTTAGTTTCCACGGGAGCAGAGCAGTCACACAAGTGCACTCATCATCATCATCATCATCATCATCGCTCTCGTCATTGCAAATTCCTCACCATAAAAGGTTTTTTTATTTTATTTTAATTAATTAAAATTTGCTTTTTAAAAATTGTAATTAATCTTGTTAACCTAATGGTTTATGATATCATTGACTTCCATAGTACTTTTTTTCCATTCTATGAAAGTCATTAATTTTTTTTTTTTTACATGTGCAATGTTAATTAAGATTTCTCACACAAAAATGTGATGTTGTGATGTAGCTTTCATTGCCATTTCTTTCTGACCGTAGACAATTATAAAAAAAATGTATAACTGTGTGAGTCAGTCATTCCCAGAAAATAATTTGTCATGTTCATTTAGGGTTCTTTAAAATGGAGAAACTGAATTAGACAAATTCTAAGTTTACTAAAACGAGAAATATGATTTTAGATAATCATATGCGTTTTATGTGCTGTATATGATTTTCAGTTAAAGACCTAGGCTTTGTTTTCTATATGGGTCACTTTCACTTAATCACCATTGGCAACCACTCAGCCATGTGCTACTTTCAGAAGCATCTCATTTCAAAACATCTTATGTCAGATTGGGTCTCTCATTAACAGACTGCCACTTGTTTGATAAAATGAAACCAGAGCCAGAGTATTAGATGTATTGCTCTCCATGAGTACTTGTGCATTGACAAATAATATGGATTTCATAAATAGACTGAAAGATTGCATAAATCAGTCTATCTATCTATCTATCTATCCTATTTTAGCACACATTTTTGTTCAGTTATCCCCATATTCAATAAGTATTCATAGACAGAAATAACTGGGGTGAGTATTTCCTCTAAACTGAATAATTTGATTTTAAAATATATTCAAATAGAAAACAGTTATTTTAAATTGTGATAACATTTTGCAATATTATACAGTTTTTAGTGTATTTTCAATCAAATAAACACAGTCTTGTGTCAGTTAAATTTATTTATTTATTTTAAATCATAGACTAACTTAGGTAAAATAAAAATCTATAATGATTTGCATTCACATTAATGAGTGGCTATTTAGATGTTAAATAACATGTAAATTATTATTTATTTACTGAATGCATTTTCCTAAATTTTAGATTTTTCATTTCCCTTCAATTCTAATTAGTGATTCACATCAATTAAGGCATTTTTGCAGTGTTGGTGTTGACTATAAGTACATAGACCTTTTCTCTTGGTGAAAGCTTTAATTTACTTATTTATATACAGTATATATATATATATATATATATATATATATATATATATATATATATATATATATATATATATATAGGAAGCTCTTAGCCATACATGCATGCACCACCCTGCAGTGCAAGTCATATTTCATTTGGGAACAAGTCTATTTCATTTAATGGTACCTCATTTGTTACCATCTGTTCAAAACCTAATCATGACATCTGGTGCTGGCAGCTTATTGTTGTTTTCATGAGTACCTTTACAAATTCCATATTCATTTCTGCTTTGAGCTGATTTGATCTGCCACTGAAAAAATCATGTAGAACACTGACACACGACCAGCCATGCTCAGGGAAAATGTTGCTTGATGTTTAAGCTCTTCTCCAGTGGATGGAGAGGTGACCTGAAATACACTCACGGCAGGAAGCTCTTAGCCTTGGTGAGGGCAAATGAGCCCACAAGCTTCCAGCTGCTTTCCTGTCATAAGCAGTAAGGTTCGTATTGGCAGGTTCTATACTTTCCCTGGATATATTGAACTTAAAATGTACTCTTTAAAGGGATAGTCCACCCAAAAATGAAACTTCTTTCATGTTATTCCAAACCTTTAGAACTGCTTTAGAGCAGCTGAACTAAACTTGTTTTGATGGACTTAACTGTATGCATTTCTTTCTTCTGTGGAACAAAAGAAGATATTTTGAAAAATGTTGCTAACAAAACTGAAAAACGGTTTTAGTTTCCTTCGACTTCCATTGCATTGACAAAAAACACAATGGAAGTCAACAGGAATTGAAAGTATCTTTTTTCATGTTCCACAGAGGAAAGAAACACATTGAAACATGAGGGCGAGTGAATTATGATGGAATATCTTTTTTGGTGGACTATTTTTTTGACCTGATCAGCAACCCTGTAAAGAACTTCCAGTAAAGGATGGCACATTTGACTGTTTTGAGCCTTTAAACTTTTGCAAAAGCTTACATATTAATGAGAAACACAGAGCAGAGGAAGGCATACAGTTGAGAGTGTTTACTCAAGCAGTTTCACAGTATAGATCAAATATTGAAATGGTACAGAAAACATGCTAATGCACTATAAAGATGGTCTTTGACTGAGGGGTCACCAGCCCAAACCACAGGATGATCTGCACATGCTGTAATCCAGATTACCAGGTTACTAAAGGCCCTGGATTAACACTATAATGCTCACTAATACCCCTTTTAATGGAAGTAGCCTTTTCCTCACTCATCGTCTGACCATGTGAAATGGCTTCTTCAGATCAAAGTTTTCAAAAGGGATAGAGCACTTAATCCAAGGCAGGAGGATATCAGCAACCAGCAAATTAATTTATGTGATAGTACAGTTACAGTACTATTACAAAGATAGGCTTAATCAAGTACACTGACATTCGTAATGATATGCAAACACAACATTGTTTTCACGTGGTTAAAAACACTCAAAAGATCTGTTTTAAATATATGCTATAATGCATGTTGTAAACAGTAAAGCTCAGTGAAATGTATATGAAATATATAGTTTCAACCTTCATATACCAAAATATATTTCAAAATATATTTCAGGGGCAAGAAAATACAATTTCCAATCATCCAGGAGCCTACATTTAGGTTATGTATTATATGTATTATATCTTATGTGTTAGACAACACGTGTTATAGACAAATAAAGTTTTTCTTCAAATGTGACATTTGAGAATGTATTTTCTTGGACTGAAATGAGGACAAAATAAACTTTTTAATGCTTGTTTTATATATATATATATATATAACATTTAGGTTATGTATTATATGTATTATATCTTATGTGTTAGACAACACGTGTTATAGACAAATAAAGTTTTTCTTCAAATGTGACATTTGAGAATGTATTTTCTTGGACTGAAATGAGGACAAAATAAACTTTTTAATGCTTGTTTTATATATATATATATATATATTGTGGCGAGTATCCCGGTTCCAAATCAGCGTCGCCCTGGAAACGCTGCTCCCACCCCAATCACAAACTACCGCCACCTGTGCGGGATGATTGGCGCAGCTGGAGCTCATTCCCGCAGGCCTTAAAGCCAGGAGAGAAGGCACACAGGAGGGGAGGTGGAAGAGGGGCTCCAGGCGGAAACTAATGTCTGTTTTGTTTCTTCTCCTCCTGTGTAGAGACCAGCGACCCTCCGGACGAGTGATCAGCAGCCCTACACGAGCACAGATCATCTGTTGTCCTCGTTTGTAAGTCGCTTTGGATAAAAGCGTTTGCTAAATGACAATTTTTTTTTTCTTTTTTTTTCCAAATACAAAAAAAAATACCAAAAATATACTGGTAGAAAATATATTTTGAAATTTTTTTAGCAAATATTTTAGACTTTTTTTTGTTGTATATTTTGAAATATATTTCAATGCATTATATATTGCTGTATGGGCACAAAAACTGCATACAAATATTAACTTTTTTTTTTGTTTGTTTAACAATGCATAAGCATCTTGGAAGTAAAAATACAAGTTTGAAATAGATATATAGATTTTTATCAATTTGGTGTGAACTCCACGCACTCCAATGAAGGGATATTAAAAATCATGGCTGATATGAATTCTAATTCATTTGTTACATGGAAATGTCAAGTTGATTACATTGTGGGAAATGAAAAGTCAAGCTGCATTGATTCTGCATCTCCAATGCAGTAGTTCTTCCGAATATTTCATGCATACAGAAAAGTCACATACTCTGCACAGAACTTTGTCCATAAAGTGCTTAAATACTCTGTTCCGTGTTTCTTCCTCTAGATATCCACAGAGGCTGCAGTGAATATTTAGAGTTCCTTTTGGAGTTTGAGCGTGCATTAAAAAGAGATGAGTTTTATCGGCTGAATATGAAGAAAAAATAAAACGGCACACCAGCCAGACGAAAAGAACGGTAAAAGGAGTGATTGTCTTTATTGAATTATTGATGCCACACTCCAGAGATTCACAGACTGTGTAGTTCCTGGCAGAGTCCTACACGCAATATCTGACCTGATGTAACCGGAGATTCACATCACCATACTAGTGCAATGTGGATGTCTTAATGACAAGCCTCATCATGGCCATTAAACCCAAGGTAAATCTCGTTTGCTGTTTTAATCTATTCTTGTTTGTTTGCATATACCCTTTATTATACATACCCCCTTATCGTCATACTCTAACTTATACTTTAACATATATCTGCTGAGCCTCTCACAGATGACCTTGATGCCACCTGCAGTTGCATTATGTGCCATGACATCTCTCCACTAAAGGGATCATCTGGACGTGAGCCAGGCGGAAACTAATGTCTGTTTTGTTTCTTCTCCTCCTGTGTAGAGACCAGCGACCCTCCGGACGAGTGATCAGCAGCCCTACACGAGCACAGATCATCTGTTGTCCTCGTTTGTAAGTCGCTTTGGATAAAAGCGTTTGCTAAATGACAATTTTTTTTTTCTTTTTTTTTCCAAATACAAAAAAAAAATACCAAAAATATACTGGTAGAAAATATATTTTGAAATTTTTTTAGCAAATATTTTAGACTTTTTTTTGTTGTATATTTTGAAATATATTTCAATGCATTATATATTGCTGTATGGGCACAAAAACTGCATACAAATATTAACTTTTTTTTTTGTTTGTTTAACAATGCATAAGCATCTTGGAAGTAAAAATACAAGTTTGAAATAGATATATAGATTTTTATCAATTTGGTGTGAACTCCACGCACTCCAATGAAGGGATATTAAAAATCATGGCTGATATGAATTCTAATTCATTTGTTACATGGAAATGTCAAGTTGATTACATTGTGGGAAATGAAAAGTCAAGCTGCATTGATTCT